CAGCTGCCCACTGGGTATCTAAAGAACAATAACGTGTATCTGAGGGAGGCTGAAAAGAGTCATCCTTATAAATACAGTCTACATTATGACTTCTTTTGCAGTTGCTTTTGAAAAACACAGTTGTTACGGCAAGGCTTTTACAGAGGCTATCAATGTTGAGGCGCGCAGAACAGGAAATGAACTTGGAATACTAGAATACATACTGTCTTCTGGTTAGATCAAAGGAAGCTTTCCATTAGCTAGGGAAAATGCAGAAAGCTGCCTCATCCAGCAGTACCAAATGGTGTAGAAACTGGAGATCATGCTTAGGTGAGACTTGTTTTTCACCTACTGTCTAAAAGTGTTGCTGCTTTCGAAGTCACGGTTGTTACAGATCCAGAAGTGGTTTGTTTTGCCTGATGCTTGGTGAAAATAAAATACAGTCTTTTGCATGGAGCCAGTTTGGTACAGTTGAGAGATATCTGATCATAGGGGGCTGAACATGAAGTCATGGGACCTGAATTCAAATTTAGACTCTGTACCTGTGGCCTGTGTGATTATGAGCACATCATGTAACATCCATGAGCTTCATTTTCTTCATTTGCAAAATGAGGTGGTTGGACTGGATGACTACTAAGATCCCTTCCAACTCTATATCTATGATTTCATAATTCATTTGACTACAGTAAAGCTTTCTCAGAGCAATAAAAGATAAAATGCTATGCACCTCATTACTCTGTGTAATCTCAGTACCCCATTAAAGTTCAACATACCAATAGACACCTGGCAAATCCATATTTCAGTCATTCAGTCATATCTGATTCTCTGTGACCCCATTTGGGGTTTTCTTGGCAAGGATACCGGAGTGGTTTGCCATTTTCTTCTCCAGCTCATTTTACACATGAGGAACAGAGGCAAACAGGGTGAAGTGACTTGCCCAGGGTCACACAGCTAGTAAGTGTCTGAGGCCAGATTTGAACTCAGGAAGATGAGTCCTCCTGACTACAGGCCTGACAACCCTATCCACTGGGCCACCTAGCACTCCATTCCATATAGGCTGATGTTCTATTTTGGGGCCAGCTTTTGAATTTCTTTGGAACTCTCCAACATGTCTTGTTTCCCCAGGAAACTCATTATTGGGGAATTTCATTATCCTGCAAGGCTCAATCTGCCTGGTACTCACATCTCATCAGTACTCTCTGATTGGCCTCTCTGATTGGTGAGGGCAGGGCCACGAGCTCCAGGGCCTCTATTTAAGTAGGGGGCTCAGAACAGATTTTCTCCACATGTACCACCAGTTACATTATTTTTTAACTTCTTTATCACGACCTCTCACTGGAGACTTTCTCTCTCCTCCCTCTTCAGCTTCCTTTTGCGTGTGGTCTTCCTCCTTTAGCATGTGGCTGTTTTGTTTTTATTTATATCCCCAGAATTTAGCCCAATGCCTGACATGCAGTAGATGTTTGAATGTTTATTGACTGAGTGATTATGATTTTTGAGCACAGGAAATTTCTAGTGTGAGAACTGACTCCGCCAAGGTAGATAATAGTATTCTTTAGTAGATGAGTCCTCTTGACCTGCCTGAGACACGTGGAGGCCATGTGACTTGGTCAGGACCAAATTGCCCTCAGTCATCAGAGGCAAGACTTGAGTCCCAATCTTCTTTTAAACACACTACCCTACTCTAATTCACTGTGTTTTAGAAACAACACTAGATTTAGTCAGAAAATCTGGATTCAAATTCCATCCATGGCATTTAGCTGCCTGTGTGGTCTTGGTTATGTCCCTAACATCTGTGCGCCTTTGTTTCTTCATCAGCATGATGAGGGGTTTAGACTAGATGGCCTCCACTTCTTCATCTTCTCATCTAGGTTCCTTATTGTGTTCACACACAGTTACCTTTTTGCTATCCAGCAGTTTGAAAGACTAAGTTATTCCAGGTAATAATTATCATAAATATTATATATGGACTGTTTTCTTAAAAGGGAATAAAATAAAAATATTGTTAAAATTCTACTGAGATTAATATAAATTTTGGGGGATTCATTGAATGAATTCTTTCATGATAAAAAAAAGAATCAGTATCTCAAGAGAAGGATATGGTTGCACAGAGGTGCATTTTATGAGCTCAGATTCCAAAAGAGGATATACCAAAAAAAAAAATTTGTTTTGAAACAGGAGTATGAAATGGAGGAAAGTAATAAAACACTAGAATTATCCCTCACAGTGTTGAGAAGATTAAAGCCCAGAATCAGCTGAAGCTTAAGGAAATTTTTAACGACAACAAAAAGTGTGTGTGTATATGTATACACCTGAGTGTCTGTGTGTGTTTCTGTGTGAGTGTACATGTTTCAGAAAAAGGACACAGATAGGATCTGTCTACTGCTTGACTGAAATGACTGAATGAGTGAACGAACGAAAAAGGTTACTTAAGGACGTACTATGTATCGAGCACTGTGCTGAACACTTGGGAAACAAACAAAAAAAGTGAATCTAGTCCTCTGCCTCAAAAGGCTAACATTCTGATAGACAGAAACAACACACAGAGTGTAGTAAGGTAGACTTCAGTGTGTGTAAAAGGGGAATTTTGTAATTTTTTTTTTAGATAAGAGTTCCAGGATCCTAGATAATATTTCCCACCAATTATGTTTGAAAACAACTTCTACCATGAAGTTGCAGTAGAGGTAAAGGGATGACATCACATATGCGTGCGCTGTGCTAGGTCATGACAATATTGCTAAAGTTAGCCTGTAAGGCTAATGTCGGGTAAGATGCCTTGTCTGTTGTCCTATAAATCAAGTGGGCCCTGATCACTGAGTGAGGAACCCATTTTGGAATTTGGGTAATGCATACAGGAATGCAAGTACCTGCCTTGATTGGCGCCCCCTCAAGGCTTGGGGGGAATCTGGGTGCTTGCCTCAACTAGCCCCATTGAGACTTTAGGGGATCGGTAGAAGTCTTAACTCCTACCATTCTCACCTGCCCCCATGAGAAGTGTGATTAGGGAATACTGTTGGAGTTGGAGCTCCCATTATCAGCAACCCTTTTGAGAAGAACAGACTAGAATTATGTGAAAAAGTTGGATATTTTATTGACTATAAGTTTAAAATGAGTCAACAGTGTGCTGTAGAAGTCCAAAAAGCTAGTATTATCTTACCTTTCTTAACAGAAGTATAAAACCTAAAATGAATAAAGAGAGATCTTTGTTCTCTACCCTGATTAGAGCACAATTGGAGAATCTGTTCCATTCTGGGTACTCATTTTATAAAGTACATTTGTAGCCTGCCCAGAGGTGGAGAAACAAAAATCTAATTAATATTAAACTAAAATTAATATTAGGATCAGAACTTTTTAGCCAAGGGGAAAATGATTCTTAAGTGGGGACAAAATCTCTGTTTCCAAATATCTGAAGTGTTAAGATACAGATGGAAACAGGCTGACAATGTATAAATAAAAAAAAAGAATAACTTTGTTATTTGAACTGCCAAACAATGTAATGGATTGCTTTATTAGGGTGACCTTTCTGTCATAGGAATCGTCAAACTGAATACAAAATGGTCACTTGTTAGGAATATACCTGAGAATATTCCAGATTCTAGTAAGAGTTGGACTAAATGATCTTTGAATTTCCTTCAACTTCTGTGATTCAATGAAAGTATTACATGATTTAGCATGATCTTAAGAGTCAGTGCTATGAACATTTGGTTTTACAGAACTGTTAAATGCTCCAGAACAGAACAGTCTGGCTAATAATGCTGTATAACACAGTCCATGGCATATGCCATTTTATATATTTTATCAAGTATAGGCCAATAAAAAATTTTGGTGGGACAAATTGATGTTCACAGATCTGTACATGTATGTGTATTTCCTCTAATAAAAAGTTTTAATTGAAAAGAAATCAGCATAAATAAGATAATTTGGTTTTATTATCTAGCCTGTTTCCATATCTACAATGAAATGTATTATCAGAATGATGAACCCCTTTGGAAAGTTAGTATAGAAAAAGTAATATGTAATAAAAACTGATTAGCAACATTGAATTTAAAGCTAAACATCTGGGATCTCCTACTCATCTTGTAACTGAAAACAAACCATTGAACTTCATGTTCCTCCATTTTTACATCTATAAAATTATGATAAGAATAATACTCTAATTTTTTGAGTATACAAGGGTAACAAGGAGATGGCCCTTGATTCATACCCTGGGTATGCTACTTATCATAACCATGCCTTGCGCTAGTCATTTAATGTCCCTGAGCCTATTTCCCTCATATATGAACCTATGTGTTGGATTAAGTGGCTTCTAAGACTCCTTCTAGCTCTGTTACATTCGTATAGTGAGAGGCAACACAGAATAGATAGAGTCTTGCAGTCAAAAGGACTTAGATGCAAGTCTTCCCTGTGAAATATACTGGTTGTACGACCCTGGGCAGGTCACCTGATGGCCTACTGTTCCGTACAGTTCTCTAAAACTCTTAAATTACAGAGCAAGGGCCAATCTTCAATATCTTTTTGGAGAGTTCCCTATGCCACAAAATTACAAATCCAGACAACACCCCCAAACAGCACAAATAATAAACAAAAATTAAACAAATATATAGTAATTTAAAGTATATAAATCTCCTTATATAAATATGTCTCCTTTGAGTCTCACAACAACCCCATGAGGTATAGGTACACATGTTATTACCGTAATTTTACAGATAATGAAACTGAGGCTCAGAAAGGTTAAGCTCCTTCCCCATGGTCACACAGTTATTTTAAGTCAGGTGTGGACATTAAGCCAAGGTCTTTCCTAGCTCCAAATCCAGGGCTCTTCCCACTGCACCAATATACATTATTCACTTATTTTCAAATGAAAATGTATAAAAATACTATAAATATAAAAGCAATTTTTAAGAAATAAAATTCAACTTTAAAGGTTTAGTTAATGTTTCAAGGTTTCACATAGCACTTTTAAAAATTGGTGTTAATTACTGTATTTTTAAAAAATCTTATTCATTTGTTTTATTCTAAAGCCTTCTGTGAAGAGGGATGCAGATATGGAGGGACATGCGTGGCCCCTAACAAATGCCTCTGTCCATCTGGATTCACAGGAAGCCACTGTGAAAAAGGTAACAGAACTCTGTTTTGAAAACTATTTGTGTTCATGAGAAATGAAGGTTATGGGAATTGTAGAATGCGCTGAAAGGTAGTGGTGCCAAACTCAAATAGAAACGGGGGCCACTAAGCTATCCATAAGGCTTCCTTCAGGCCACATGTTGGCTTAGAAAATAACATTTTGACATTATCTATGTTTCCTTTATTTATTTCCCAATTACATATTCATCTGATTCAGACCCACTAGGAAGTGTTGTGGCCCACATGTGACCTGGGCAGGGTGTTGGACACAAGTGTGCTGTAAGGGACAGTTTGGTATTCTTTGTTGGGATGTGGAATGTTCTCTTTGGGTGAGTGACTTTGGATGACTGTGTCATAGATGGGCTTTCTAGCCTTGAAAACATTGTTCTCTTTGCCCTCTATCAAATGTGGTTAATTTAACAAGGTCAAGGCTGCTTCCTGCCACTGTTTTCAGTGTGCATCTTTACCACTAATTAGAGATAAAGCCAGATGAACTGACCTGCCCCTCTTATTGTCTACTGGGTAGCAACACGAGTGACTGTTTGGTATTATAACAATCTGCTATGTCAACTGAATCTCAATGAGCTGCCCTTGCTCCTTGCTAGAAATGCACATTAAATAACACCACTGACACTTTTATTGGCCTTCTTGCGACTTTATTCCAATATTAGTTTGTTAGGAACATTATCATTCATGGGACTGATAATGTCAGCCAATTAGTATTGGTTTGAGTTCATATGGTGCCACTCCAAGCACCTTTTCACTTGCAGCAAATGAGGGGTTTATATTTTGTAATATTTGGTGCAATTCAGCCCCATCATTTTCTGGAAAATCATCCAGCTTCTGTGCAAATGTTCATTTGCTTCTGATGCCAATAAATGCATGGATGCAAACAGAGTTCTTACAGCAAAGGGAAAAGTAATCAGATCACTTCATCCTTCTGTGCTAATGCCTCTAGCCTACTACGGGAAATTGCTGCTTGACTTGTAGAACTAACATATAATTGCAAAAATCATGCTCTCTAAGATGTTTGGCCGTAATATTGATGAGAGAGAGGATCCATTTGTCCTATGCTGAATTGCCATACAGAACATGTTCAGCCTCTCTACTATTGTTTGAGTTTTCTTATCCTCTGTGATAGTTACATCATAGATTTTTGACATAAGAGAACGTTATTGGGTAGGGCGCTGCCTTCCATGGCTAAAATTAGTTCAGAGGATATTTATAATGACTATTAACAACAAAATCTGTTGTTCTTTAGCTCATTTTTTGTTTAAAATTTGATTTTAAGTGACTTCCTGGCATTCTAGGGCTTAACTCATATAGCCCACAAAGGACCATTGTTATTAATATTATATAAGGATTTATTAATTGCTTTCCTCAAAACAAACCTGTAGAGAAGGTAATAAGTTAGGAAGGGGGATATCATTAATGACTTTACTTATCATCTTTCATGGAGGTCTCTGAATATTCAGATTTCATATCAAAAAATCTAATCAGTCTCTTGGTCGAGCTCCTCAAAGGAAAATGAATAGGAAGCAGCATAGCAAAACAGAAGGAAAAAAGTTGCATGACCATATTAGGTATGTGACCAAAAAAAAAAATCCCTTAAAAATGGAAGGAGTGACACAGAAATAAGTAGCTTGAGCATTGGCCCCCCTGTTTGGGAGCAGAAGTAGCAGCTAGGAAGCAGAACTATAAGGATCTTTAGGAGAGCCAGGCAAAAGTGATACTCCACTCTTACAAGTACAAAAAAGTAGTTACAAAGCAACCATGCCCAGCCCTAGGATATTTATTTTAGAAGGAAGAGTCATACCAGTCTCAGAATTACTGCTGCCTGCCATATGCTAGGGATGACTACTAACTCAGTGGAGTAAGGTAGTAGAAGTTTGTAGCCAGGATTTAATGAAGCAATAACTGATAAAGATTGGCCAATAGGCACCAATCTGTGCCTTAGTATAGTATTTATTTTCATTTTGTATCAACAGGTATTTTCTTTTAATGGAAAAATAAACATAAGTAATTTGCATTTAATCAATATTTAATAGCGTTATACTTGTACAGAAAAACAACAGAATAGTTTCAAGTATCACTCTTGTATCCCTTAGATTGAATTGTTATTGAACATTTAGTTCAATTAAAATTCCTGGACCCTTTTATCACTTGAGACTTACTGTATCATTATAGGCGCTCTGTGGGGCTCACCAGCTTCTCCTCTGAAATCTCTCTCACTATATGACCAACCCACTTTTTGTGTACATTTCTTTAACGACATGTAACTAATGAATAAAGGAAATTACTTTAAAATAAGGCAAAACCAGTATCAATTTCATGGGAGAAAAAAGTCATATGAACTGATTATTTGGTATTATAGAGACAAAATATACAATTCTTAGACTGAATTTCTAAATTTTCAGTTGGTTGTGTTGGCGCTGTTGAAAGCCAGGTCTTAGTCATCATAGTGCCAGAACTCAAAGGGAAATTAGAAGTCTTGTCTGTAATGATGGTATAATCAAATGAATTGCAGTAAGGATCAGAAATTCTAGCTCTAACTCTGCTACTTACTAGCTATATGAAACAAAGACAGTCATTTAACACTTAAAGACTTAGGTTTTCTTATATGTAAAATAATAGAATTAGACAAAGTAATGTAAATATTGTATCCCCAGCACCTTAATGGTTTAAGTTCAATGTTGGGGCAAAACGAGGCACTCCTGAGTCACTGGACAAAGGAGATGTTGTTGTTGTTCAGTGATTCAGTTGTGTCCAACTCTTCATGACCTCCTTTTTTGGGGTTTTCTTGGCGAAGATACTTTGCCAATTCCTTCTCCAAAGGAGGTTCACTTTGTTTAAAAAAAAGATATATAGCAAGGATATGGATGTAATGACCTTCTATGGATGCAGCCCCCTCATTTCCATCTGGAAATACATCCGGTCAGGCTTCAGGATATGGCAACTTGCATGGTCTTAGGTGAAGTCACCACCAAGTCTGAGGCACAGACTGTGACTTTTTATGCCCTCAGACCAGGAAACTATGTTGGGGAAGTTGGGGCCAATCAGACTGCATGGGAGGAGAAAGGGAAGTCGGGGATGTTGAGTCAACAAAAATGGGATATCTCCAGTTCTAAAATTCCATGTTCATGTCTCTCTTTTTATCTGTATCCCCTCTCACACAAAATGAGGGTAACACTACTTTTCCCTACCCAATTCACAAGGTTGTTGAGAGGAGAGAACTTTGTAAATCTTCAACTTTTATACAAATTTAAACAATTATTAAGGAGTACTGTGGAGAAGGGAGTAGAGAACTGGACGTTGGGTCAGGAGACATGGACCGTATTCTGGTTCTGTCATTTACAAACTGTCAGTCAGTGAGCAAATCGCTCAATTTCTCTTCTCCACATATGATCACAGGATTTAGAACTGGTTCAGACATCATCCAGCCCAAGCAAATTTCATCTAACCCAACAAACAGTTGTCATGCTCTGTGTGACCTTGACACACCCTGAATTGACCTTGGGCAATTCATTTCACCTCCAAGGGTTCAAGTTCCTAGCTATATGAAACAAAGACAGTCATTTAACACTTAAAGACTTAGGTTTTCTTATATGTAAAATAATAGAATTAGACAAAGTAATGTAAATATTGTATCCCCAGCACCTTAATGGTTTAAGTTCAATGTTGGGGCAAAACGAGGCACTCCTGAGTCACTGGACAAAGGAGATGTTGTTGTTGTTCAGTGATTCAGTTGTGTCCAACTCTTCATGACCTCCTTTTTTGGGGTTTTCTTGGCGAAGATACTTTGCCAATTCCTTCTCCAAAGGAGGTTCACTTTGTTTAAAAAAAAGATATATAGCAAGGATATGGATGTAATATGGACGTTGCAAATGGGACCATTTTAAAAATGGATAATGTCCTATAATTCCTCAATATGATTTAGTGGAAAGAACATTGGATTTAGAATCAAAGAACTTGGTTTTGAATCCTGTCTGCTAATTATTATCTGCACCCTTAGGCAATCACTTCATGTCTCTAGCCTTCAATTTCCTCAGCAATAGAATGAGGTCGGTTAGACCAGTCAATGTATAAAACATGCTAGGCCTCATTTCCATCTGGAAATACCTAGGCTATGGGGATGTCAGCATAAAACAAACAAACAAACAAAGCTAATATTCTGCTGAATGAGGCGAGGACATAACATAGCAAGGCAATGACACACAACGGAAAGAGCAGTGACTGAAGTCTACATAACTGAGTTCAAATTTTACCTCTGATACCTATGTGACCTTGGGCAAATTACATTAGCGTTTATGGGTCTCAATTTCCACACCTGTAAAATGAGGAGGTTATAATGGATGGCATCTGAGGTCCCTTCCAACTCTAGCTCGATGAGGCCATAAGCCTAACAGATGGAAATACTGATGATAACTTGAGGAATCATGGAAGGCTTCCCATAAGAGGTGGCATGTGAGCTAAGACTTGAAATAAGCTAGTGATTCCAAGAGGCAGAAGTGAAGTGAGTGTGAATGCCCTGAATAGGGGAGGGCACATACTGAGACTTGGAGCCAGGGGATGGAATGTCACATATGGAGCAAAGAAATTAAACTCCTTCAGGGTAAGAAATATACATGTATGTACAGGTGTATATACATGTGTATATGTATATATGTATTATGTAGCACATAGTGTATTATATGTAGCTAGTGTTTAGCTAACAGTTATTTAGTACTATAAAGTTCATATTTGATCCTCACAATAACCCTGTAAGGTAGGTGCTGTTCTTATCCCCATTTTACAGATGAGGAAACTGAGGCACAGGGAGATTAAGTAACTTACCCAGGGTCACCCAATTAGGGAGCATCTGTATCAAGATTCAAACTCAGGCCTTTGTGCTTCCAACTGCTGAGTTTTAATCACTTGGCCACAGTGGTTGGCACACATTTGGTATGTAATGCTTAATGAAAGGAAGATTATTTAATGGAATCCATGGTTAAAA